AAGTACACAAAATTTAGGATTGGCGAATCAGCCAACTGTACATGTGGATTAGCACCTGAGACAACAGATCATGTCCTCCAAGTCTGTCCCAAATACAACATATCAAGGCAAAACTTTTGGTCAAGAGAAATACATTGCCGATATAGATAATCTATTTCAAGTGAATGAAAGAAGAAAAGAAGATTTATAAAAATTACAAATTCTGCCTCTCAAAATCCAAACCCCTTCCTGGCAATGTGAGAGTTGGTAGAGTGGAGAAAGTCAAGGGACTGCTAGGATTTGGCAGAGTCTGGCGTGGCTATGTGCCATGGGACCGCTATGGTGGCCCCGAAGGCCATCTTGGGTCTCGTCAAAACATCCTGGCCATCGAGGTTCTGATCAAGTTGTGACAGGCCTATCAAGCCAGCAGTAGATATTTTACCACGGCAAAAATATTATGAGATATAAATGGACTGACCAAGTTCTGGAAACAGATATACTAACTGACGAAGCAGAACAACGACAAAAGTCATCAATAAGAACAAAGCACCAGAAGCTGAAAGATTTCAAAATAAATAATCCAAGCAAAAGGTGTAGGAAATGTCTTACGGCTTTACGGAATCTGTAATGCAGCGTTGATACAACAAAGTGCTTATACCGATGGCAACTTGCAATAGTTATACCATTGTGGAAAAAACAAGTGGAGCAACTAAGAACATAGTCCATACTGAGGCATCTCTCTCTTAGGACATGGAACAGTTATGGTAGCCTGCCCAAACGACAGCATTAAATTGTGCTATAGGAGAGTAAGGAAATCACAGCTGATGATGATGGCGAGTGTGACTTTTCAAAGACAAGGTCAGGAATAAAGCTCCTGCTCTCTCATAGCACAAAGCTAGGGCACTACTATAAAGACCAGGTGTTGCCCATTCATCGTAATCTCTCTCATAGCAGTGCAGTAATGTAGAGACCAGGTGTTGCCCATACATCGTAATCTCTCTCATAGCAGTGCAGTAATGTAGAGACCAGGTGTTGCCCATACATCGTAATCTCTCTCATAGCAGTGCAGTAATGTAGAGACCAGGTGTTGCCCATTCATCGTAATCTCTCTCATAGCAGTGCAGTAATGTAGAGACCAGGTGTTGCCTATACATCGTAATCTCTCTCATAGCAGTGCAGTAATGTAGAGACCAGGTGTTGCCCATACATCGTAATCTCTCTCATAGCAGTGCAGTAATGTAGAGACCAGGTGTTGCCTATGTATTGTGATCTCTCTCTCTCTCACTCTCTCTCTCTCTCTCTCTCTCTCTCTCTCACGCACACACAGCCTGCTTTGTTTATTCCAAAGTAAAGGAAACACCAGTACGTTTAGAACAAAGCATGCTGGACTGTGTGGCCTGTCAGAACTCCCTTCTTGAACCAGATGCCAGCCAATGCTAAGGGCCCTCCCTGCCATAAAAGCAACTCTTCAGGCTGCAATTCCTCTTCTAGAATTAGACTCGTATCCGACTGACTGACTGACTGACTTTCTACCACACCAGGACATCACACAAGCGATAAACACACTATGACACAAAGTGCCACCATGTGGAAGAGGATCACTGTGAAGAGGTCCCAGAAACCGCGTTTTAGCCAATTGGCCATAATTATGGCCTGGCTATATTGCGGCTCCTGGCAAGAGCCAGGGCGGGGCTTCAAATAACGAAAAATGTCGTCCTAAAAAGAACGGTGAATATATTTAATCAACTCGTATCCTTCACAATGCATTCCTTCACGGGAAGCTATTGGCACAGTGCAGGATGTCAGGTTTGTTACATGTTGCCTAACATTCTGCACTAACAGAAAATATGTAGCATCAACTTATGTTATAGAGTGACAACAACAAGTTGGGGAACATGTGTGCCAAGATAACATAGATCAATGTTGAGACCACTGATAGAAGAAGAGATGAGCTCTAAAAAAAAAAAGAGAGAAACTACATAGCAGGATCTTTTATGACTGCGTGTGTGTGTGTCCGATGATACTGGTTAGTTGATGAACATCAGGTGATGGGGGATTTAAAGTGCTGAAGAAGATCTCAGACGTTGATTATTACCTTTCATACAAAGAAACACTAGACCACTTTAGAATGCTGCAACTCTACCACCAGCACTAACTGTGTCAACGTTGAACAGCAAGGGAGATAATGGTGATCCCTGTGGCAGGCCAGAAAATATAGTTGTAGGTTCAGAAGCCCAACTGTTGCATCTAAATACTACTACAGTCGAGTCCACTTAAGTCCAACTCGTATAAGTCGAATTTTGGTTAAGTCGACATGACCAGCTTAGTCCCAGCAATTTTCTCTATGTGTGTGCTGTCCGGATAAGTAAAAATCCTGTTAAGCGGAAGCATTTTCTTAGGTCCCTGCGACTTCTACTTATCCAGACTCGACTGTACTCACTGAACAGTGCTGGAGAGACCCAATTAAGAAATAACTGACTTATTTACAGTTCAAGAAGCTGAAACATTAAGAAATCCAATTGTACTCTCCTGTATACATTCTCAAAATAAAAAGCAGTCACGTGTTTCAAAGTCGAAGTGGAAACCTTTATAGATGTCATGAACAAAAATTGGGCCAGTTTTCTCTGTTGGTCGCTTCAAGAGACAGCCTCTGGTCAATAACCGGTCAAGAGTGTGTACAGCAACACTGCTGAAAGAGTTTCTACCTCATACACTGGCAACATGATAGAAAGTCAACACTGCTGAAAGAGTTTCTACCTCATACACTGGCAACATGATAGAAAGTCAACATTGCTGAAAGAGTTTCTACCTCATATACTGGCAACATGATGGAAAGTCAACATTGCTGAAAGAGTTTCTACCTCATATACTGGCAACATGATGGAAAGTCAACATTGCTGAAAGAGTTTCTACCTCATACACTGGCAACATGATGGAAAGTCAAAACTGCTGAAAGAGTTTCTACCTCATATACTGGCAACATGATGGAAAGTCAACATTGCTGAAAGAGTTTCTACCTCATACACTGGCAACATGATGGAAAGTCACCACTGCTGAAAGAGTTTCTACCTCATATACTGGCAACATGATGGAAAGTCAACATTGCTGAAAGAGTTTTTACCTCATACACTGGCAACATGATGGAAAGTCAACATTGCTGAAAGAGTTTTTACCTCATACACTGGCAACATGATGGAAAGTCAACACTGCTGAAAGAGTTTCTACCTCATACACTGGCAACATGATGGACAGTCATGCTCAAGTTAGGCAGTTGGAGAGACATTCTAACAAACAAGTACAGTTGTAACTAGTAGAGACATCATCAGAAATGACCCGATCAGAAAAGAGGTTGGAATGAAACCAGCATTAAACTACATCTAGAGACACATGGTTTGGTCATGTGTCGGGACGAAACCAGCATTAAACTATATCTAGAGACAGATGATTTGGTCATGTGTCGGGACGAAATCAGCATTAAACTATATCTAGAGACAGATGATTTGGTCATGTGTCGGGACGAAACCAGCATTAAACTATATCTAGAGACAGATGATTTGGTCATGTGTCGGTACGAAACCAGCATTAAACTATATCTAGAGACAGATGATTTGGTCATGTGTCGGGACGAAACCAGCATTAAACTATATCTAGAGACAGATGATTTGGTCATGTGTCGGGACGAAACCAGCATTAAACTATATCTAGAGACAGATGATTTGGTCATGTGTCGGGACGAAACCAGCATTAAACTATATCTAGAGACACATTGTTTAGTCATGTGTCGGATTGAAACCCCAGAGACAGATGATTTGGTCATGTGTCGGGATGAAACCAGCATTAAACTATATCTAGAGACACATTGTTTAGTCATGTGTCGGAATGAAACCCCAGAGACAGATGATTTGGTCATGTGTCGGAATGAAACCCTAGAGACAGATGATTTGGTCATGTGTCAGGATGAAACCCTAGAGACAGATGATTTGGTCATGTGTCGGGATGAAACCCTAGAGACAGATGATTTGGTCATGTGTCGGGATGAAACCCTAGAGACAGATGATTTGGTCATGTGTCGGGACGAAACCAGCATTAAACTATATCTAGAGACAAATGATTTGGTCATGTGACGGGACTACCAGCAGATAGTACACCACAGAGAGCCCTGTCACTTATACACAGCGGAAGCACAGCTAGAGGTCGACCACGCAAGCAATGGATAGATAGAAAATCCGAGGCCATAAATGCCAGCATCTATGTAGCACATACCAAGGCGTACACATGATGCCTCTTAAAAAACCTGACGCTGAAAGGCAGAACAGGACCAGAGAAGAAAAAGAAGAAGTAGTAGGATATTTAACAGGGTTATCCAAAATACATTTCTGAGATCTTCTTCGTATGCCTCGACCCCATGAGAATCATGTTCATGGTATACAACACATCCAGCTTTGTTGAAGAGCAGAGTACATTTTTGGTGTAAAAAAAACATAAATAATATTTAGCAGCTGTATTGCATACAATATGAAGGCTATCCTCCGAATAACGGCCACATATTATGGCGGCCAAAAACAGGGCCTCAGTCACATATAAATTGCGAACTTCCGGCGACTATACCGCCACTGCCGAGAGTATCTCCCGCGCCGCGTGGCGTGGAGCTGGGCTTAACTAGATTGCTGTGACTCATGAGCAAAGCTGCAGGAGACGCGAAAGCTGCTGCTTGTGAGTCCCAGCCATCTAGTTTAGCCCCGCGCCACTACGCGGCTCTGGCGATACTCTTGGCGGTGGCGGTAGCGCCGGAAGTCTGTAATTTAAGTCGGCAGAGTCCGCTGTTTACATGTGACTGAGGCCCTGTTTTTGGCCGCCATAATATGTGGGCGTTATTTGGAGGATAGCCCAATATAAAAAATACCTTAGTAATGTGAACACATAATATTAGTAATCTGAACAATATAATGGCAGTAATATTTATAATACATCAGTAATTTAAACTTTATAATCTGGCAATAAATAATACTTCTGGTAACATT